TGTTGGACCTGCTCTGAGAAGGAGTGTGAACTACAAGACCTCGGGAGGTCCTTTCCAGCCTCACTTATTCTGTGATTTTTTTTTTTCCTCCATTCTGTGATTCATAAAGGAAACTTTACTAATTCTTCTTCTCTATTGGTGCTTAAAAACAAAATAGATACAAGGAAAATTAATTATTGTCTCTCTGAATTAGTTTCTAACTTTTGGCGGGGGAGCATTAAGTTGTAGCTTTCCTTTTGCCTCTGAGGGCCTTGAGGTGACCACCAGCAAAGGGGAGGGGGTGCGTGCACGTGTGTGCTTTTTTTCTTTTTTTTTGGTCACTCCATCCTCCCCCAAAATGGTACCATATAAAGGGACACTGTACTCTATCCTATTATCATTTTATACTGTTGCCCATAATGTCTCCCTTTACCAGTCATGGTGGATTTTTGTCTTATTCCTATTTCTCCCGATCTTTATTTTTGCGCAGGAGAGTTGACCAAAGTCCCTTCCTCTGCATTTGGCTATGTCTGTTCCCTTTTTTCCTTCCTTTTTCCCATTGTCAATATTTGTCTGCCTGCCACTCTCCTCCTCTCCCCTTTTCTGGCTGTGAGGCAAATAGGACCTGGAAGGATGGACATAAATGGAGTGTTATCTTGATGAAAGTGATATTGATGCCAGCGGTCTGTTCTGTAGACAGGTAGCCTGCTCCAGTTTGCAGCCCTAGTGAGCCATGTTAGAGTTCTGCATTTGCAGTATTTCCCCTTTTCTGCTTTCTAGGTTCTTCCAAAATCAATACCTTCCAGCTTATTGAGCAACATAGCACACAGGTTTTGCCAGTTGAGCCAGGAACAGAGAACTTTCCAAATAAGTTTATTTTTGCAATAGAAATACAGGTTAAAAAAAAGTTTAAAAATCATCCTAATGGGCTTTCTTTTGGAACTGGCTAACTTTGCATACCTTTGCAGCTGTTGTTACTAGTAATACAGGCTGAACCCTTGTGCTTGCACGACTGGAAAGTAAGCTGATGAAAGTAATTCTGTTCTTAGCATCTTGGTAGTTGAGAACATGGATATAGGACTAAAAAGTTAACAGTATGTTTTGGCATAAACTATGTTTTAATCTTAGATTTTCTTATTATTGAGCATATTTAATAGCAAGCATGAAATAGTGGGTTTAAAAAGATGTTACACCAGGGAGTCCTTGATGCAACAGGACAGCGTTTTACATGCTGTGTATCGTGTGGAACCTCTAACTCAGTGTTGTATGCCCTTTTGAAAAAAGGGAGATTACCCAAAGATGATGTGAGGTTTTTTAGCTAATGTTTCAGTACTATCTCAATCTACAAACTTTGCGCTTTACGTAGATTTTTTTTTTTTTTTTTTAGTTATTGTAGAAAATTGATGCAGGTGTTAATGTTTGTTTTCAGGCAGATATTGTAGTTTGTACGTCTGATGCAAACAGAAAAATAATATATGCCTGTTGCTTCATTTTGTAGCTAGAGTACAGAAGTGATGTTTTAGGATAGACAGAATCAAGTAATAGCGCTAGAGAACATGGTAGAAAAGCATTGTGTTTTGTGGCCGTCTAAATGTGTTTACGTTGTGGTACATGTTAAATTCGTTTTGGATAAATGAATGCAGTGCCTTTGGACATGTGACAGGGGACATGACAGCCGTGACTTAGTACCATTTGAAAGCTGGACAAACCTGCAGAAGGTTGCAGTGTCAGGTGAGCACTTCTAAACCGCTCCTATTACGAGAAACGTGCCTCCAGTTCAGTTTAACTTCAGAATGGTAAAACTTTGTGGTTGCTATGGTTACAGCATTATAACGGTGAAATCTTCACCCTAATGTTAGTTTTGTCTGACTGACAAAAATAATTCTAAAATCAAGCTGCTTATTGCAGCCAAGAAAGCTTATTGTAGATAAAATACCAACTTAATTTTTTTGAACTTTTCAAAGTATGAAATAGTCACTTTAAACAATTACAGCAGCATTTGTGTACTTAAAAATAGTATTAATAACATTTTAGATGTTAATTATTTTTCCCTTTACGTGCCTTTATTTTCTCTACTAGATGTCACTAGTAGATTTGGGAAAGAAACTTTTAGAAGCTGCCCGAGCAGGTCAAGATGATGAAGTTCGCGTTTTGATGGCAAATGGAGCACCTTTTACCACAGACTGGGTAAAAAAAAAAAAAATGTTGCACTGTTTGGTAAATTCTCTTTATTTTCTCAGCTGGGAAAGTAAACTGGATTATTACAATTAAGCATTTATATTACTAGTCTTGAGACTTTCTTTTTGGAATTCTGCTGTCACATCATCTAATATCTAATTTCAAATTAATTCTGCTTCTTCACTTCATCTGGGCTCCTACTAATTGTAACAACAAAGCGTTGAATGAGTTCGTTCTGATGGCTGTTATGGTGAACTTTGGAGTGGTTAATTGGAGAAAGCAGCAGTCATCCTCCTGCTTACTGTGTTCACGTGTTTTGAACACAGGAAGAGCATAGTTTAGTTTAGTAAGAGATCTGAATTTAGAGAGCAGTCTGAACTACCTAATATGTGCAGTTGAGGGTTCCCTGGTAGAAATGCTCTGAGTTGTTTTTGGAGGAACCTGTGCTCTGCATAGACTGTGTAGAGAGACTGAGTCAGGTACCTAAACTTTTAGGGAATTTACAGCACCGTAAGGGCCTTAATCTGCTTAGCGACCTAACTTTCAGGTTGGCTCTGCTCTGCCCAGGAGGTTGAACTAGATGACTTCCAGAGGTCCTTTTCAACTTTGGAGTTGTCTGTTGACCAACACTAAAAATGAGGTTATTCCTCTTGGGACACACCTTGAAGAAACAACCTGCTGCCAGTGAACTGTTTTTAGTGTGTTTAGTGTTTTGATGATAACTGGAAAAAACTTAAACTTTTTGTTTTCTTCTTCGTACTCTGTAAGAGCCCTGACAGTTTCTTTCCTTGAGACTGTGAGGGAAAATGATTTTAAAGTGGTAGCCTGGCACCCTAATTTGGTAGCTGCAGAATAATAATAACAATAAAAAAAAATTACTTTGTATTAACATCTGTTAAAAGTCCACTTTTTACCTTGCATTGCAGCTGGGAACATCCCCGCTTCATCTAGCAGCGCAGTATGGACACTACTCAACAACAGAAGTATTGCTGCGAGCAGGTGTAAGTCGGGATGCCAGAACCAAAGTGGACAGAACTCCGTTACATATGGCAGCATCAGAAGGCCATGCCAGCATAGTAGAAGTCTTACTCAAGGTAAAAATGCTTGAAACAGAGTCTGAAGCTGGGATATCACAATGGCTTATTATTGAATAGGTGCAATTTTATTTTAGTCATTAAACTATTTATATTGTATTTATATTGGGTGCTCTGTTTCCCATTTCAATTATAATGTAGATTAGTATTAAGTGAAATCATCATGATTTCAGGTGAATTATTCATTGCTATTTCAAAATAAGACTTCTCCCAATTTGGCACTGTATGAGTAACAGCTTTTAGAACCAAGACATGTTTTGGGTAGGGATTCTTGAATCCTTTGTGATGAATAATTTATGTAGTACTTGTATTGAAGAACTTCCTACAAATCAGTAAATGTAGGAAAACAGGACATTACTGCTAGAAAAAGAGGCAGTTTTGGACTTCATTCTATGAACAGCATTATTCTGGTCACATCTTTATAATGACGTAGTTGATGCAATGATCTTGTTTGCAGCATGGTGCTGATGTCAATGCAAAGGACATGCTCAAGATGACTGCACTTCACTGGGCTACGGAACATAATCACCAAGAAGTGGTAGAACTCTTAATAAAGTACGGAGCAGATGTCCATGCTCAGAGTAAATTTTGCAAAACTGCGTTAGACATTGCAATAGACAATGGAAACGAAGATCTCGCAGAAATATTACAGGTAACTTTGATTCATGATGCTAAGGAAACTTGCAACAGAGTGCTTGTTCATGCAAGCTTTTAATATAGCAATTGTGAGACCATGTATTGGCTAATAATGCTAGATTCCACTGAAGTTTGTGGCATGGAAATTAGGTTAATATTGATAAGCATTAGTTGCACAGGAAGGTGGCTGAGGCGTATTTCCAAAACCTGCAAAGCCGAGAGATGAATTTCCTTTGTTTTTGTGATTTCGAATGTTGTAGGACACAGAACTAGCTGGGGTCTAGGCAGGCAGACTATACAACTTAACTCTTCCCTCTGACAATATGTTCTGACAGTACCCTAGCGTTAGATCAGCTCTGTATATGGATATTAAATTACCTGATGGAACTGGGAATCAGGAGAGAAGAGATGGCTCTTTCTCTTAGATTAGGAAAACTGGGATTGAACCACTGGAGAAGAGATTAAGATTTCGATAGATGCTTTCATGAAAATGTCAGCTCAGCATTCATAAAAGCAAATTAAATGTTAAGCATTATTAGGGATAGAACAGACAACAAAATAGAAAATGCCATTATACCACTGTATAAGTCTGTTGTTCTGGTCTGTCCCTTTAGCTTCTCCTTCATTGCAAGAAAGGATATAGGATATAAAAATGGATAATATTGAAAGAAAGACAAAAAGATGATTAAGATCATGTGCAACTTGTGGCAGCTCCTGAGCTATCAGAGCCAGTTTTCATGGCATATAGCTATCACAGCTGTCTTGGTTATTCAGGCCTTTATTTTAGATACTTGAGTTTATGCTTCTACAAAAAGGCTATGTGATTAGATGGTCCTCTTTGTGTACAGCAAATGAGGAGGAGGTGTAGCAGTCTGTTTGTATTTTCTCTTTCTCTTCAGCAGGCTTCTTGTCTCTAGGTTTCAGCCAAAAGATGTTTCTCATGTATTTATGGATAACAATAGGCGTTATAGAGTGTGTGTGTGTGTGTATTGCGTGAGTATAACTAGGGAGAAGAGGCTCCCTGTTTGAGTGGAACGTGCGATAATTCTAGGGTTTCTAAATATCTACGGTTGGAATGATATTATTTTATCTACAATGGGAATGATATTATTACCTTTGTCTTCTAGATTGCCATGCAGAACCAAATCAATACAAATCCAGAGAGTCCAGACACTGTGACAATACATGCAGCGACACCACAGTTTATCATTGGACCTGGAGGGGTGGTAAACCTAACAGGTCTGGTATCTTCTGCAAATACATCAAATGAAACAGGTATTTAGATGCATATAGGATAGATTTTGGGATTTTACACTTGAATTGATTTTCACCATATAATGAAGAGGCTTGAGGGAAAACAATGGTAAGAACAGAGAAGTTACTTTATTCCTCTTCAGTGTTTCTTATGTATTATAAATATCTCAGCACTTAAAATAACAAGGTACGTGGAGATAAATTATCAGAAGTTGTATTTGCTTAGCAAACTTGCCTTCAGAATAGCGCTTTGACTTTTAACAATGTTATTGAGAACGTTATTCTAGTATGTTAGAAAGTTCAGTGCAGTAATAATATAAAAGATTTTGTGAATAGTTACATTTATCAGTGATTTTTCTTCCTCCTAACAGATGAGACAGGAGTGTCTGCTGTACAGTTTGGAAATTCATCAACGTCAGTATTAGCCACGTTAGCAGCTTTAGCAGAAGCGTCAGCCCCATTGTCTAATTCTTCAGAAACACCAGGTTAGAAATCTAAGTAATTTAATCTCATTAAATGAACTAAAACAAAGTACACTGAAATATGGCTTTTTTTGAGGTACAGTTCATATAAAAATGAGGTGACAATCTTTTTTTCAATGTGGGCAAAACCAGGTGTTTCTTTCCTTTTACCTGAAAGGTTGGCAGATTCATTTGTACAGTTATTTCTTAATAAGATTTCTGGCCACAGCTGGTATTTACAGGCGAGTGAGCGTTCATCTTTCTGAAGCATCTTAATATATCTACATACAGCCTAGTTGCATTTGGCAGGAAGATCTTTCCTCTGAATGCTATTTTCTCTTAAACGATGGGAAATGACCCCTAATGTTGTTTCCATATATTTTGTCAGCAGTTTTGTAACCTTTCACCCAGTAGAAACAAGAACATTGGTGAATTTAATGGGCAGATTACCCATAAAAACATCTGTGATCTTCTTTTCAGCCTCAGGGCACTCGCATTTTTAACAGTATATGGCGATCATGACAGGTAGAACACAAATCCCTAGCTTTTGTCTCTGAAGTAGACTATGTGATGTACTTAAAATAAAAAAAGATTCTGAAAATCCCAACAGGCGTTTTGGTGGAGACCTCAGTTTCTGAAGCAACTCAGTTTCTCAGTTTCCTGCTTTTTCTGTGCATGTTATCTTGGCCAGTGCTGATTTGCATAGGTTACTCCTCATTTTTTTCAGGCAGTATGGTACGTATGTAGCTACTGTAGTTTTGTGGTAGGCCAGATTGCTTTCTTCTTTACCCCCTTGTTGATATAACCTTAGGATCTATGAATTTTCTTTATGTGTAAAGTAAGAAGGCAAAATGTGATCTTCTGTCTGTTTTCAGCTTCAGTGTAGAAGTTGTCATCAAATAGTTCAGTTTTACAAAACTGAAGAAAGAAAGATGCTTCTTGCTGGAGCTGAATAGAATCATGCTTATTTCAGTTGTTATTCTAGTGAAGGGCATGGGAGGAGACTGATGTAATGTCCAAATAATGTATAATGTACGTATGGAGTTCTTTTGAGATTGGGAAGACAGTTTAGAGAAATACCTCATTTAAGATGTGTATTTGGAGTGTGGTATTTGGTGTGCTTATGCTGGAATGAGGCTCATGTCTCGCTGTATGTTCAGGAATTCTCTCTCCTGTCTCCACACTCACTGCAGAAGAAAACAATACACTGATTAATGCAGATATTCTTGAAAATACTAGTGCTGCTGTTTTAATTAACTTCAGCTTACCTTCAGCATGTGAGATAGTGGGGCAAATGTTTCGAAGGAGAGGGAGGAAAGAATAAGGACGATACTTACAGGATTTTTTTTCCTCTTTTACACAGAATAACTTCCATTTCAAAATTTCAAGTTCAATACAACACCCCTTATTCAGTAAAACAAACAGTAATTCATACATGAATAAGAACTTTGCGATTATTTAAGCGCTATAGGACAGTAATCTCCGAACATAAAGATCTTCATACGGCAGTGACTGCAGTCTTTTGAACAGCAGTGATTTGTATGTGCATTATATTGCAATTAACTGAAAAGATGAAAGCTTCACAGTTGTTTCTGCCTTCTCTCATCTCAAACATAAGAACAGTCTATAGCCTTTTTAAATTCTATTTCTGTAGATAGGAACCACTCTAATGTTTATTATTTAAATCAAAGGCCCTGAGAAATTGCTTTTGCCCTGACAAATTGAAAATAAAGAGAGTTAGTGCACTTGAAATTCTTTGATTGTGCTGCTGGGGATCTTCCTCTTTGTGCCAGTATTTTGTTGTTTTAAGAAATCGGGGCGGTAGTTAGAGACCCCAATTATAGTATAAGCTCTGTCATGTTGTTCTGAATGTAGTCTTTCCCTTAACTTGATCTGTAGAAGTAATGTAGCACAGCTGTGAGAGTTTGCTGCCACGTATTCATTATGGAATCATGAATTTGAAATGCTTGGCTGAGCTGGCTTTGTATTGTTATTATTTTTACTTTTACCTATGAAGTTAGATACATACAGTATTTTATTTTACCTTTTTAGTTTTATCGTTCTCCTTTTATGGCATGTTTAAAAACAAACAAACAAAAACTCAACTCTTCCAAACTTTTCCTTTAGTCCTGTTTCATACTTTGTATAATAAATAGTTAAAGTTGTGCTGGTTATGTTTGAAGTACCCATGCAGTACAAACAAGGCTTTAAGATTCTTCAGAGGTCCTTCAGTCTATTACTGTCTTGAACCATTATGGTAAGCACAGGAATCGGGCCAGGTCCTGAGGTACACCCGGCCAAGGGGGAGAAGGGAATAGTTGACTTCATTTTTGTTATTTGGATGTATAACTCTGAAGGTCTGCTTTGTGTTTTTTTTGTTTTTTTTTCCCCGATAACGTCATTATAACTAAACTTTTTCCATACTGAGGACGTGTTAAGATAGGTAAATCCTTACTTCAGTAAATCCTTGTAAATCTGTGTCACTTGCACAGTTTTATTGAAAAGTGTAACTTTTCAGGCTCTGTAAATGCTGGATATGAGAACATTAATTAAGGAGTAGCTATGCTTTTCAAGCCAGTGTTTTCGGTTTCATTTTTTTTTATTATCCTGTCAGCATAACTTAGTGCAGCTTGTGTGCAATGCAAAAGTAATTTGCATTCTTCAAACAACTCTTATTCTTGCTGTCATGTTAACACTGAACCCAAAACTTCAGTTTTGAGTGGCTATATCTATTAGGAAAAATGCTAAATAAAGATTGATTATATCAAGCAAGGTAAACCAGGACAGAATTGCTTATGTATTTCAAATTGGTGATGCTTTATATAGGCCTGGTGAAAGATTTCCATTAACAGTATAGTATGTAGTAATGCATTTGATTTCAGAAAAAATAATCAAATTTGAAAAGTTGTGTAAGAAATTCTTTCTTCTGCCATAGCAACGTACATTTTAAATGGTAAAGCTTAATTTAAAATATGGACTTAATTTCTTTACTCATCTATTAATAGTTGTGGCTACAGAAGAAGTAGTGACTGCAGAATCTGTGGATGGCGCTATTCAGCAAGTTGTCAGTTCTGGAGGTCAGCAAGTTATCACTATAGTTACAGATGGCATTCAGCTTGGTAACCTCCATTCGATTCCAACCAGCGGGATAGGACAGCCAATCATTGTGACCATGCCAGATGGTCAGCAAGGTGAGTGGAAATTTGTAGTGTGAGCTCAAGGAACTATTCTAGTTTATTTAAAAAAAAAAAAAAAGGAAAAAGAAAGAAAAGTGGGGAGGGGCAAATAGCTTGGGAAATTTTGCAGAATTATTGATATAAATTGAGTTTCTATACTGTGAAAGGCTTGGACACATGAGAGCTACTGCAGTTCAGTTAGCACATGTCAGCTGAGTCTCTGCGTTAGGAGAGAGAACAGAATTGCTGAATTGTATGAAAGAGAAATGGGGCATTGAAGGGAAAAGTGACCCACCTGTTTCGCCTTTGATAAGTTTGATTCTTTCAAACTTGATATGAGAACTATAAAATAGAATAAAAAAAGCCTTTTCCAATTCTTACACTGTTGCCTTACTGGAAATATTGCAGAAAAGTGGGGCTTGGATTTGGGAATCTCATGCACAGAGCAAGCTGTGCAAGTTCCATGGCTTTGTTCTGGAAGAAGCTACTCAGAGTCTTACATACCTGAGGTTTTGGAGAAGCAGCGGCAGACTCAAAGGAGCCAGAATGACACAAATATCCCTATTGGGTCATAAATACTTTGGTCATGGATGCCGCTAGTGTAGTTATTTTATGTGTATGTATGTGTTTTTGGGTGATTTCTTTCAAAGACACTCTGCACCCGCTCTCTAGGTGAACATAGTTTCTTCCCTGGTTTCTTCACCAGGATTCCCAGCCTGAAGAGTTGTGCACTGGAGCCAAATGATTAGGTCTGCTGTTTATCTGAACAAATGTAACTAATTATCAGGAAGTATGAATGTACATGGGTAGTAGCTGGAGCGTTGTTGGAACGTTTATGTGTCAGATGGTTTCCTGAGTAAACGGGAGTATGAATTTCTGTAATTTCCTAACTTTTTTCCCCCCGCCAAGGTTATAACTACTGGATTTTCATTTTACTTAAGTGTTCTAGTTAATCAAAATCATAAGTCGGTTTCATATTTATAATGTTTCTTAAGCAAATATTAAAAGATATGGAGTGGTCCTTAAGCTGCAGAATTGAGAGATTGGTAACTGCTGCAAATCACTTTTTTCTGTTTACACTGCAAAAAATGGTGACGATGCTCCAGAGTAACAGCTAACTATTATAGACCTCAGTAGCAAAGAATTTTGAAATTCTTTAGTAGCATACGGATAGCTAGAGCATTCAGTAAATTTTTTTCCTGTATCAGTTTTAGTGTGCTTTTATAGAGTTGCTCTTTCATAAGGGAAAGTCTTTGTATTTTACTGCTGTTAAAATTCATATAATTAGATAATTTTATTATATGATGCGAATATTGCTTGAAGTATGTGTATTTATATTTACAAATATGTTTTCAGTCTTAACAGTTCCAGCAACAGACATTGCTGAAGAAACTGTGATAAGTGAAGAACCACCAGTCAAGAGACAGTGCATTGAGATTGTTGAAAATCGTGTGGAGTCTGCGGAAATAGAAGTAAGGAGTCTGTTACGTGATGTGTGTTAACCAGAGTGTTCAGAACTGAATATTTGGTTGTGGGTTTTTTGTGTTGTTTTAGATCTAAGCATCTGTGTTGTCACAGAATGAAGAGTTTGATACAATAACTTGTTCCATGACCCCTGTTACTGGAATTAATCTTTTACAAAGTTGTTACAAGAAGATAGGAAGGCCATTTGTTTAATCATCTGGTTGTGCATATAAAAGTGACAAATGTTTAAGTATTTGATAACTTAATTTTTTTTGTTTTCCTTTAAGATCACTAGCTAGTTTTTAAAACTAGATAGTGATATGTTATCGCCTAACTTAACTCTTTCCACTAGCAGTAAATGAGAACACTGTCCTCTCATCTCTCTGTTTATGACCACATGCTTGTCCTGATTGTAAGATCATATTTTCAGCAATGTTTCCTTCCCATTCATGATATCTAGAAAACTGTTAATGGACATGTGAAACAGTAAGATTTTGTCTTTGTCAATTTTTATCTTCATCCTTTTTTTAATTCTGGAGCAGTAACTACTACACATCTCTTTGCAATGTCCTGTTTTTTAAATAGTAGTGGAAAAGACCTAACAATATTGAGAGAACTTTTCTTTTTATATATGACAAATAGACATAGCTGTTCAATTTAAGATTGTAGCTTTTTTTTTTTTATTATTTTATAATCCACAGAAGGTCCACCATCTCATTCCCTCTTCTGTCACTTCTAATTGTGCTGACTGGTTATGGTCAGAAGCCTATGAAAGTTGCTGTCTGCCTTGACTAGGCAGTTCTCATTCTGTTATCTGCATGGTACTTCATTTATCAAAGGTTGTATTCTCCAACTTCTGTTCATATTATTGAATAACATTTTGTGCCTATTGAATGCTATTTATTGTACAGTATGTGTTATACTTTATTCATGTCTAATAACAATAATCATCACTTTCATCATTGACTTTTCCTGTCCTTAAGTTGTCACATCAAATACCTTTGGCCTTTGCAGCCTTGTGGTCGTTACAGATTATCATGACAGTTGAAATTTTCTTGCTGCATTTTTTTAAAATGTATGACTGTTACAATAAAAACAAATCTTTTGTTCACACTTTTAAACATCTGCCTGAATTATTCTTAAAGGAAATTATGTTTCCTTAAGTATTTTAATAATTTTGTTGCAAAGGAACAAAATCCAAACTGGTTAAGGAATAAATTGACCTGTTCCTAGATACAGATAGTTGGTATAACAGTAAAAATAATTCTTAAAGGGACTGCCAGCTTAAGATACATATTTTAAGCCCGTTTCTCAAATACTCAAAATCTTTGATTAAAATTAAAGATTTCATCTATTTCTTTTAAATGCAAATTTTGAAGACTGACTTAGTCCCTGACTGTTCAACAGAAAATCTACGTACAGACCCCTGCCTCTGTGTGGAGCCTTTCAGGGGCTCAGCCTTCAGGAGTCACTGTGGGTCACAGGGTATGGTGCTCCTCTTGGTTAACTGGGACGTTACATAAGTGCATATGAAGTCAGTTCACTTTAAACTGAATTGGAGGGAATAGGACCCCCTCCCTGCCAAAATATTTTTTGAATGTGGGAAACTTTTACTTTTCTCTGTTACTGAAGATAGTTTCTTTGACTCAGTAGTGACTCATTCTCTTTTTTCATTATGGAGTTGATTTGGGGCTGACTGCTTTCTTAAGCCACTTTTAATTTATAGTGTATCTATAAACAGTTAACTTTACTTTGAAAATCTTTATGTAAAATTGAACTCCCACTCATGTGAGGTGACGATCTTTCTGGTGAAAGGATTGAAGGATTAAAGCTAGCAATTTTCTTTTTTTTTTTTTTTTTTTTTTACATTTTCATTTGGGCCCATTAAATTGAAACACTTTATTTTGAAGAGCGATAGAAGATTTATTAAGCGTTCTGACACTTAATTAAAACATAGCATGGCAGCAAAAAAAATTGACTGTTAAACAAATATTGTTATTTGTTTTCATGCATACTTCATTAACATACAGTGATTTTTATTTTCATTCTTGAATTTGACTGTGTATTTTTCATGTTGCGTGTTGGATAGATGACATACATTAGATATAACCAGGACAATCATTTAATTAGACTTCAGAAAAAAAATTCATAATCATAAATGAATTATCTTAGTGAATTCACATCCCTGCTTTTTTATTGTTAAAAATAATGCTTAGTTGGAGAAATATAATTATAGGTGCGCCTATCTTCAATATATAGACTTTTAAAAAAAAACTGCAATGTAATGTAAGAAAATTCTCTATTAAATTGGAAAATTCCTTAAGAGTACTCAGAATCCTCCAACTTATTTTGTAAGTGGATAAGTTTTTATTTTGATGGGTACAAAAGGGCTTCAGATAATTAGAGCACTTTCAATTATATTCTAAAGACTGCCCTGAGAACATTTTCTGGATTTGCTGAAGTGAATATCCCCAGTATAGTCCTCCTTGTTTCAGATGTCAAAGTTAAGGAACCTGTTTTTGCAAAGTTGTTATTTGGCAATACAGTAGGTCTATATTGCCTCTGCAGAAGAATCGGTTTCTTTCCATTGACTAGTTAGACGGTGTGCTTGTCCTTTGTTACTTAACTCATTCTGTTTACATTAGGACCATGTCTTTCTCTAAACTGCAACTATTAGTTCTTGGAATAATCTGCTTGCTTTCAGTGGCTAGTCTGTCTGGTAAATACTGGTTTGTTTTCAGGTCTCTGTTAGTGAGATCTTTCTTTCTTTCTTTCTTTCTTTCTTTTTCTTTCCCTTCCTTAATGTGCTGTCATACCCAATGTACAGCATTACGGGTACGTGACTATTTCTCCCATCTGTAGGAAGTACTTACAGATTTGCTCTGAGAGGCTCTCCACCTCAAGCATCTGCAGCATGCACGCACTCCCTTGTAGTGATAGCACTTTGCTTCTTGTAATGTAGCTCCAAACTGCTGGCCAACAAGCTGCTGATGTTATCATTCTTCTGCAGCCCAGTAGACAGAGCAGCTTTACTTCTTGCCAGTAATACACTTCTGGTTTTTTGTGACAAGTTCATGTGATAGATAATGCCCAGCAGAGCTGATCCTAGAGCTCAGCGTCCTCAGGAGGGAAGGCTTGCTTTCAACACGTAGCAGAATCAACTTTTTTGACTGCTTCCCTGAGAACTGTCTGTAGCTCTTTTTCCTCAACTTCATGCTTCACAAGACTGTTTTACTTAAGCCATGTTTGTAAGCACTCCTTAAACTACATAAATAATTTACAGAAGTAGCACTATGTTTTGGGTTGACTTTGGGCTTCTGAGGTTAGCGGCCCTTTCCTCTAGGGCTGGGTACTCTAGGATGGGGGAAAAGAGCTCACTCTACCGTGCATGCTCAAAAAAATACACTTGTTTTTCAGACACCAGGGTAAGTGTGCAACAGCAACAGTTGCAGAAACCTTCCCGCACCTCTAATAAGCTGAAGGAAATTATACTGGATGTTACTGAGCCACAATCTTGGAAATCAGCTGTGCTGGTGTTGGAGCATGGTTCTTGGTGTATTTTAGATTCTTTGTGAGACGTAGGCTCTACCATTCTTTTTACCACAGCGTTTGGTATTGGTCGATCTAGTTGCTGCATGGGTTGACCATTCATAGTGATTTAAAAAGCAGAATTCAGATTTTCAGAGGTGATAACTGAACAGCCTTTTCAAATGAGCAAGCCAGATGAGAAGAGCTCTCTTTTTATTAGCGTATACTGCAAATGAAACAAACTCATTCATATTAGCTTCCTTCAACTGTTAAAAATTAAAGCCATATATAAAGTCAGGTTCCATTTATACACAAACAGCCCTGTGTTTTTATAGCTGAGCTTTATAAACCTGTTAATAACATCTCTCCTTCACCTGTTGTTTTTGCTATACAGATGCTGCTGTTAGCAATGATCAGATCACCTATGTCATTGTATTCCAACACATTCAACACAGCATGTGACTACTAAATGTGGCTGTGACAAGTATTGAGAGCAGTAGCAAGTAGAAGGGAGGCAGTTTTGTATTTTCAGGCTCTGATCATGAAAATATGTGAGTGCATCAGATGTGAAGAACAGGGAAGCTATTCTGAGGGGGGGAAACTTCTGCAAACTATTTGAGATATGACATGGAAATGACATACTAAACTGCTGGGATGGGAAATAAGGTGAAAAGGCTTATTCTCACCGGGTTTCAGTTTTTGATAGAGTTGTGTTTTTCTGGGAGATGGCTTGCTTTGACAGCTTCCCTCCTCTGGCTACCTATGACTACAGTGGAAGAAAAGGATTTGAAATCAAATACTACCTTACTCATGAAAGATGATGCACTTGCTTTAATGAAAAGATATTTGATTGAAGATCAAAATAAAACTGTTTTCCAAGCAAATTATTTTTTTCAATTAGGCTCAGTGCAGCATCAAACAAGATGACAGTATGCACGTCACTGGAGATAGAAATGCATTCTCCTTAGTTCCTAAGGCAGCTGCATAGGAAATAGCATTTCCCATGTTCTTTTCCTTGGAAACCATTTTACAGCCATCCTCAACCGACTTGTATGCGGGACTGCAGCCTTAAGTTACTCCCTTTAAGTTAAAGAGACTTACCTAACCAAATGCTTATTAATTCATAAAAATGTCATGTTCTTGGGGAAGTAACTTTGTTTCTGGATTGCATGATATCCTTCAGATCATCTCATTTAGAAATCAGGTATATGTGTCTTTCAGTTAGCATGAGCAGCTGTCACTCTTCAGTGCAAGCTGCTGACAGGTAACAGTTTTTGGTTATACTATCTGATTAGAAATACAGGGACAGTCCTGTTGGATTGGATTCCTACCGGAAGTTGATTTAAAACTTTGTATTAAAGGCAATTGAATTATGGGAGAAATGTTAATTTGTTATATTAGTATTTGATCACCATGCTTCCACTTTTGTATTTCACCATTTTTTTTTTATGAAGACTTGCTTGGTATTTTTGCAGCTAAAGGAAGTCAAGTTTATTATACTTCCACTTTAAGGCTTATTGTGGGAGGTTGTCTGATATGATAATTCATGTCTAATTTACAGTGGCTTATGTAGGTTTGCCCAAGTAAGAACTGGACAGTTTCTACATGACACCCAAACAGTCAAGCTGTATGTACAGAAAAAGTATTTACCATTTTAATTTGCATTTGATACGTATTTGACAAAATATTACTGGTTCTGTTTCTAATAGGAAAGAGAAACTCTTCAGAAGCAGCTGGATGAGGCAAACAGAGAAGCACAAAAATATCGTCAGCAACTTCTAAAGAAAGAGCAAGAAGCAGAGGCTTATCGGCAGAAGTTAGAGGCAATGAACCGCCTCCAGACTAATAAAGAAGCTGTTTAATAAAAAAAAAAAAAAAGAACATACTGCAAAGCCTGTTACTTTAAGTCAAAAATCTGCAGTACAATCTTGAACTGTACACTATATAGGTACAGACACAGGATTACATGATAGAGAAGATGCTACAAGTTGGTAACTGGACTTAAGCCATGAGCTCTGATGAATTTCTTGTAACATAAAAACTCTGAATTTAGAAATTGTGAAAAGTATTTAAAATGAAATACTGTAAATAGTTGTTTTTTTTACAGTTTCAAAATGAGTTGATAAATCTTTTTGAAGGGATCCAGAAACACAAGAAGCCAATGTTTTTGTGAAATTTTTGATTTTAGTATGAATCTAATTTCTGAAAAACAGAACAGTTTTAAGGGTGATGTTGCTGATTTAAGCTGACAACTTGAAAATGAATTATGTGACAAAATGAATTAACAGTTATTTCTACAAGGTAACAACTTAAACTTCTCCGAATAAGACATTTCCAGGTGGAAATCTTTGTACAGCTTTAAGTAGTTGTCTAATATTATCTGAAAAACATTTTTTTTGTTTTTTTTTTTTAAGGCGGTGAAATTTTTATATTTAATTTCAGATATATCCAAGTAGATTTACATGTATATGAAGCTAATATTTTTTAAACTTTTCAGTTTGTACATATGCTGCATGTTTTTATAATTTCTACACATACATCTTGCATAGGTATTTTTCAGCAAAGATGAGAAAAATTATGAGAAAAATGTTTAGCCTATAGATCATTTGAAGTAAGCTAGCAGCCAGTTTTATTGTGAATGGTATATTTCTTGGAAGAATGTAATTTGTAATAAAAAATATTAACAAGTCTTAACTTACACAATATAGACAATTTAAAATTTGGCAGCGGAGGCATTAAAACTTCACAAACTTTGCGTGTTTCAGTTTTCATGTACAAACACTTTAAATTTCAGCAATGAACGTAAAAGAATGTCTCCGCTGGAACATGAAAAGTAGTTCTTTTAGAATATTCCTATTGATCCGTTTTCCCCCATGGTTTTGAAATTATTTCAGTGAAACATTTTTCTAAACAGACTTTTGAATTTAAATTATGCAATTGGACAAGTAATTTTTTATGTTGTAGTGATGCTCTTCTTACCTAGCATCATCGTTCTTCACTGTGATACTGTGTTTGTGTGCGTCTGTGCAGTGATCTATTATGCTTAGGATTTATAGAGCACGTTACATCTTTAAAGCATTGTAAAATCTTTTAAAGAACAAACCATTACTATGCTGCCTGAGGCAGGTAAGTGAGTGTTATTGTCTCAATTTTATAACTAGTGTAAGCGCAACACAGGGAGTGTTAAACGATTGGTCCCAGACCACATGGATCTGTGGTGGACCTGGGAATAGATCTCAGGAGTTGCTGGCTTCTAGTCCTGTGCTTAGACTAAGCTGCCTTAAGATTGTTCAGTGCTGTGTTACGTTGGATTTTGAACTACTGTGCAGATTCCTTTTTTGTAAGATAAAACTTTGTGCTTTGCTTTGTTGTTCCATGTTTCACTGCTTTTATGAAATTGTTTATATAAACTTAAGCAAAAAGTCTAGTTTACCTATACTGTATACAAAAGAATTACCCTTAAAACTGTACTCTGGCCTACTTTTTCTATTTTACAATTAAATATCTTTTCCACATACACATAGTGTAGAATCAATTCCATTTAAATTTTTAAATGTGCATTAGAAAACCATGCTGTGTTAAACATTAAGACAAATATGAAAAATCTGTTTTAGGCTCAGAATTCACTTCAGGAGGGAAGAGTGGGGAAAGAATTGCATTAAACAACACAAATTAAAATTTTCATACTTCAAACTTTGAGTTGAGTTTGTAGAATTGGCAGTTAGGGGAAAAAAATCCTAGTATTGGTATAAAGTTGGCAAATCTGATCCAAAAATCTAGAAATGGTAACAATTGAAATCTGTGGTGGTATTTTTTAGAATAATTATTTTCAAGAATGTAGTCGTGCTCAAATGGTACTAGGACTTGAAGCAAGCCTTGTGCAGCGACTAATTGGAAATGATTGTATTGTAAAGTTTTCTCAGAAACTAGTTATTATGTTACTAGCAAATGCAGGAACAATTAGTCAAGTGAAATGTGCTATTTAGGCATTGCTCCAGTTGAATTACTCTATCTTCAAAATAATGTTTCTGTCTTCCCATCCCACAAACTTAACTGCAATTTAATCTCTGTGAACTCTTAATAGCGATAAGAATTTCAGCGTTAGCCTAAGGAGTGATAGCGGTAATGGTTTTGTCCAAGTGGAGAATTTCCCACGGCTTTGACAGCGCGGACCTTTGTAGCAAACAATGAGAAAACCTTTTCTATTCATTCTGCTTCCTGTGAGCAAATTATTCGATTCCTCGTGGGCTGTAACAAAATCTTTCCAAGTGCAGGGTAGCTATAACAAATTTCTTTATCTCCAGCAATATTTACCCTACCTGTAATTCATTATTGCTTATCTTATCCTAGTTCCGAACAGAACCTACTGTTTGTTCTTTTCTACACAGAATGAAAAACCAAACTGATCAAACTATCAGTTTTGAGCAAAAGACGTAGGATCTGTGTCACATGAAATATTTATTATGTCTAGTTCAGGTCTGAAAACATTATTACAAAGTATTGCTCCTTATTTGCTGTTCCAAATTGAAATCATAAATGTAATCAGCCACCTTTTTTTTTTTTTTTTTTTTGAACAGATGTGCTTCCTTATTTAAAATCATATATTAGTTACTTGTTGTGAGCTTGTATCATGGTTTTGCCCTTTTTTTTTTTTTTTTTTTTTTTGGAGAAATCTGAACTCTTTTTGAGCTGGTCCTGTGCTTGATGCCAGCCCCTTCTCACCTCCCTTGTCTCCCTTTATGGTAACATTTTCAGGAAAGCCAAGAGATGTTTCTAAGTTCATATCAAATATGTAGGCAGCATTGTTGATTTTTGCACTATGTTTCCCGAGAAACATGAGATAAAAGCAAATGAATAAGTATATGGTATGGTTTTGTGTGCTCTTTTTGTTCTTCTACTTTGGATGACTTTTTTATCAGTGTTTCTACTTCAGTATAATAATCTGATGAACATGTATCAGAGCATCTTTGTTATATCGCTGAAACAGTTGTTCCTTCTCAAGTATTTATCTAATCGCAGCAGAACTAGGAAAAGTTTTTTACACTGTTCTGTAGAAAGTTCACTATGGAGAAAGAATTAACTTTCTAGAAAAACTTTTGAAAGAGTTCAAGCAGGAAATAGGAGCTGCTCTGGCAATCAGTTCCCTTCTGTATCATGGGAACAGAGAGATGGCTGTAATGGATCAGACTAAAGGTCCATCTAGCCCAGTATCCTGTCTCCAACAGTGGCCATAACCAGGAGCAAGGCATAAGGAGGAGCAAGAATAGAGCAAGCATACTTTCTAATTATTTCTCTTCTTAGTGTTTAGTCCACTTAGGCAGGCACAGTTTATGAAGAAGATGCATTTTCCAAGCTCACCAGTCTAGGGGGATATCAATGGAGGAACGTTACCCTGCAATACAACTTGATCAGACCTGAAAGGGCAGGATTTCCCGAAGGGGATCATTGCTTTGTAATGTAGCTCTGGAATTAGCTAGCAATAATTGTGGTGCCTTTCCATCTGGCAGCAAGGGACTGAGTGCATACAAGCTGAAAAAGCATGGCGATGCAAATAAGCTCTTTCTCGGAAAAATTAGTCCTAAAATCCTTTAAAAAAAAAAAAAAAAAGTCCTCACCACCTTAGAACTGCAGCATCAGATCTGTTACTTGTTGATGCCTGTATTGTATTAACTACTGCTAAGGCTGTTTTCAGTGGACAAAAATAAGTTGACTGCTTTTATTTGTTTTTGGAAACTTGAGTTTTGCTCTCCTACAAGTCTGATGTTATTGTATCTGATATTCATGACATGTTGATTACCATGAGCCTTCTGAAAGATTGTTCTAAAATGGAAAAGGGCTAGTGCAGAGGCAGCTCCCCTCAGAGATGCTGTCTTACACATCAAAAGAGCACAGATGAGAATATACAAGACTGTAAAAGCCGTTAGTTGGGTGGAGCTAAATAAACGCTCACCAATAACCTGCCTACGTTAAACCTTTTCCAGAGTGCGTGAGTCGGAGAGATAAAGAGAGCTATAAAGGGTGAGCAGCTAGCAGGGTACCAGATGGTACTGCCAACAGCTCACTGAACGGTCCTGGCCAAGGTTCGAAGAGCTGCTTTTGGAAGAAGTCAGTATGGAGCCAGAGGAGTACAGACGGAGAGGTGAGTGAGAGTGATCCTCCTCTGCTTCTGGAAGTAGGTAGTGTTTGCTTACAGGGAAGAAGCTGTTGTAGGGCTGGGAGAGGTACCCAGAAATGAGGGGGAGCTTTGCGCTCTCGAACTGCACACAGTCATCTTTGAGACTTAAATCTGCTGGGGCTGAGAGGATAAGAATGTGTCCCAGGGTAGATTTTAAATTAATGGATGTAAAGTCAGTGGATGACTTAGGTTTTTTTTTTTTTTTTTTTTTTGGTCTTACACATAAAATACTATGGGAAAGATCCCAAACCCTGTGATTCTGAGTAAACTTGTGCTAAGGGTGTATTATGCACAGTGGCTATTTTCTGGCTGGCACCATGAAAATTCACCGATACTGGTGCAGCTCTGGAGATAAGGAGCAAATTTTGGTCCCACGGCTGAAGGAGATTGCCTAACAAGTGGAGAAAAGGTATGGAGCTGTTTTCAGAGGATGCAAAAGGGGTAGCGCCATGCTGACCGGAATCTATTTGTTTCTCAAAGTTTCTATTTGTTTTTAGGTAAGAAAATCTATCCAGTCAATAGTCAAATAAATTGTACTTCCAAATTTCAAATTCAAATTGTACATTTGAAATTTTCAGCAATGACACTGAAATAACACTATGAATCTCTTCAGTCCCTGTGAAGCCTGTTCTAAGAGCTGTATCCCTGCTTTATTAGATGGAGCAGGTAAGGTGCAGGAAGATTGAGCAGCTTTCCCAAGATCACCTAGCCACAGAAGCAGAGATTAGCTCAAGTCGCTGGTTGCTGGCCAGAGTCCTTTCTGTAGGAAAACATTCACTCACTGAATAATCAGAAACCTTCGGGAGGTCATACAGCTCCCTGCCGTGTGTGGTGTGTCATGTGTATGCTCCCAGATAAATGTTAGCAACAGTTCACGAGATGATCCATGATACAGTGAATTGAGGCTAGTACTATGGAATACGGGGGTGTTTTTTTATACCGACAGGGAAACAAGCTTATTGTCAGGAATTACTATCAAGTAATGTTTTTCACTGATGAAGCATGTAGCCTTAAACTAACATTCAGGGGATGAGTCAGAATCGATTGTTGAGCAGAAATTCTTGTTTAATTTACTGCACGTTTTGCATACATTTAAAAATTGTTATTGGGTGGAGTAGGATGAATTTTTAATATAGACTTTTCCTGCAGCTGGAAGCTGCCAACATTTGGTTCCAGTGGATTTCCTGTATGTTTATGATCCATTTTGTAGTAAAAAGTGAGGAGAGGCAGGAAAGATGAGGCTGAGGAATGTGCAGGATCCTCTGCTTCTGAGTGCCCTGAAACCCTTGGGCACCGTAGGACTTGCCCGCACTGGGGCTCTGGCTACTGGTGTTCTGGTTCCCACGGCTATGCTGGGAGCAGCATCCTTCCGAGCCCTGTTCAGTAACGAGGCTAATGACGGACTGCATTAAGTGTTAGTACTCATTTTTTCTGTGATCTAAACTCAAAGCACTGAGTTGCCTCTTCCAGGAAAAGAGATGGTGGATTACATTTGCCAGTACCTGAGCAGTGTGAGAGAGAGACGAGTGATTCCTGATGTGCAGCCAGGTTACTTGAGAGCTCAGTTGCCAGATTCTGCTCCAATGGACCCAGACAGCTGGGACAACATCTTTGGAGACATAGAGAAGATTATTATGCCTGGGGTAAGAATTAAAGTATAATCATGTTGGGGAAAAAGTCACTACTACCTGGGAATGCAAATCCTGGGAATGCACAGATTCTGTAGAGCATCTATTTAAACAAGTAAACCTCTTTGAAATACAGAATAATTCATATACAGATTTTGTCCAGAGAAGGATCTTGGAGATTACTGTTGTATTCCTAAAAATTTTAGGAGGTAGAGTGAATATACATTTGAAGTATTTTAGACTTCAGAGCATTTCATGTTTGCTCAGAGGGAAACTGGTTTTCTGACATCGATGAGTTTAGCTTCACAAGGCCCCTACCTGGCAAGTAGTATCGTCTCAGTTTCAGAGATGGGGAGACTGAGACACAGCAAGATGAAATATCTCTTGCCCAAAGTCCTGTACACATAAGACTCGTCTCCTGCTCTGTGAACATAAAGGTTTCTTTCCTCTTGTAAATCTATACTGCAGATCCTGCTAAGGGAGGTAATAGTAAACATTTAAACTTTTTATGTAAGAAGGTGTTACAAAGAGTGTTTTAAAATTTGCTGTATAGATATTTGCACAAACTTGGTCTGGTCTAGGAGAGGTATTCACTTTTATTGTGCTTACATTGCTGTCCAGCATTCAAG